CATTTTGCCATTTCATCACTTGGCAGCTGGGGACCCTTCCTCAAGCGGGGGTCAGTTCTGGGTACCCTGGCTCTGCAGCGTTTTCCTTCTCTACCTGCCCAGCAGCTTAATCAGATGGAAGTGGCATGACTTGAGCGTGACATGTTTGAGTTCTGTAAGATCTCTGCTGCCTTTTCTAAGAAATCAAAGCCTATTTTTCAAAATCTTTTTCAACATTTCTTGTAAGTGGTTTCCCCTCTGGGGTAGTCTCACTGCAGAGAATTCCAAAGGAAAAGTTAAAAAGAGACCCCAGTATGTGGTAATGGGTATTTAGTTAGCCTTTTTCATCTTAATACTTGCCTTAGAATCCATTCTTCAAGACCCTGAGGTACTAACTTTCAGTTCTCATTGGGGATTTGCCTGAAGAATGGGCCACTCAATGGAGCCTGACTTGGGAAGGGACCCTTGCTCCTGAATTTGACTAATGGACAAGGGAGAGGAAGGGGAAAAGGATATGATTCCAAAGCGTGTTTACAAGAGAAACAACAAAATACCCAATTCTCATTTCCTCCCTCCTCCCCCGGGAATGTAGTTGATTCCAGACTCCACATCAAGTTCCTGTGCAGATGTCGGAATGTTTCTTGCTCTTTTTGGCAACTCTGGGCATATGATGGGTAATGCTCATTCTTGGTGCAAGTGATACCTCACATGGGTTAGGGAATTTCCATAACACTGACTTCCCTTTTAAAAACAACATTTACTGAGTTTTTCTGATTATAAAAGTTTATAGTCCCTTTATAGAAAATGTGAAATTTAGAGTAAACTGTATAAAAAAGAGGAAAATAAACAGTGCTATAACCTTACTGTCCACAGATGTAGCCACACATGCACAGTTTATTTGCATGTTTGTGCACACATGCACATACATGTGACCAACAGGAGCTGAGGGACTAATCACACAGTGACTTTGTCTGTGTTTCCTGTGGTGCTTAGAACCTGCTCATTGGGTGGTTGGTTCTTCCTTCACTCCTGAATGAGCATGTGAGTGGGCAGGATGACCTCTCTAGAAATCCTTGGGTGATACAGAGCACTGTTATCACTCTTCATTTACCACATGATATCAGTTTGATGCTTAGAATGTCCAGTTCTATGTAACACCCAGACTGAACTGGGTTTAAAGTAGAAACTTTTCCCCAGCTCCTTCAGGATAGTTTCTTACCTGCAGAGAACTAGGCATGGGGGCTTCCCCTTCCCTCCCTACCCTCCTCCCTGAAACTTGCTGGGGATGGTTTGACCCCTCTGGGAGCAGGGAAGGAAAAAAGTGGCTAGAAAGTTCCCTCTGCTCAGCTTCACACTTTGGGGGCCAGGCAGACTCTGGCTTCCTTGTCCCTTTGGTGGCTTCTTCAGAGCAGACCATGGGAATGTTCTAGTATGCCTCCCTTGTCTTGGTGAACAACTCTTTCGGAAGCCTGACTGTCCATCCTGGGGGCCACTTGCTGGGCAGAATCTGGGCTCTCCCACATGTCAGCTCTTTTGCAGACAACTTCTCACTATGGGAACTACTCAGCCATTCTTGGCCTGAACAGACTATGGGTGTGACAGCTGAAACCAGGGTGATAGCCACTCTCCTTTGCCTGTCCACCAAGTCCACTGGCCAGCCCATCTGTAGTCTATAAGGAGTCCTATGCCATAGCCAGATGCTAACTGCAGGGACCTCACCAAGAGCTCTTCAAGTGAATCATGAATCCCCTTCTGCTAGGCCTGAGGTGATTGAGCCACATCCTGTCCCACACACCCTTCACAGATAAGAGGGTCTTGCCATAAGAAATCCCCTTACACCTCCTCCTCTCTCTACCTCATGAGTGATTTGAGTTGAAAACTTTTTAGGGTTTTAAAACCCAATTTTAGCTAAATGCCTGAGGATGCAAGTCCCATAAGATGTGTGTCTCAAAATTCGCTTTGCTATCTGTTGTCTGTTGTCTTCATGCCTCATCCTGTTGTATAGATACTACGTGGATGGATGGATTGAAATATTGATGTATGGATGAGTGTGCACAGAGGTGGATGGATAGGTGGGTAGACAGCATGCAATACAGTGTAATTTTTAATCTTTTTTTCATCATGATAAGTGTACTCTCTAATTCTGATCCCCTATTTCCCCCATCTCCCCACCCACCTCCCCTCTTGTAACCATCAGTTTGTTTTCTATAGTTAAGAGTCTGTTTCTGGTTTGTCTCTCTCTCTCCCTTCCTCTCTCTTTTTTCCTTTGCTTCTTTGTTTTGTTTCTTGAATTCCACATATGAGTAAGATCATATGGTATTTATCTTTCTCTGGCTTATTTTGCTTAACATTATCCTCTCTAGCTCTATCCAAGTTGTTGCAAATGGCAAGATTTCATTCTTTCTTTTTGTGGCTGAATAATATTCCAGTGTGTGTGTGTGTGTGTGTGTGTGTGTGTGTGTGTGTGTGTATGACATCTCTGTATCTGTCCATCTATCGATGGACACTTGGGCTGTTTCTGTAATTTGCCTATTGTAAATAATGCTGCAGTAAACAAAGGGATACATGTATCCCTTTGAATTCATGTTTTTGTATTTTTGGGGTAAATATTGTTGATAATGTGATTACTGGATCATAGGACAATTTTATTTTTAACTTTTTGAGGAACCTCCATACTGTTTTCCAGAGCGGCTGCACTAGTTTGCATTCCTCCCAACAGTGCAAGAGGGATCCTTTTTCTCCATATCCTCACCAACACTTGTTTCTTGTGTTGTTGATTTTGCAATATGGTATGCTTTTTAACAGCACTAAGCCTGGAATGCACCTAATTAGGTCTAACCCTGGGCAAGTTATTTCATCTTTTTGTGCCTCAACATCATCAACTGTAAAATGAAGCAATTCATATTGTTAATGATAGTCCCTACCTTATGAGACGTTTTTAAGAAATTAATGAGAGAACTCATGTAAAAAGAATTGAGCAGTGCTGGCAAATAGGAAGCACTCAAGAAATAATTACCTTTTATGATTACATGCCTATTTATCTCTCAGAATATCGTAAACATTTTCACATTAAAATATTTTAAAATAAATATTGTATAATGGTACAAAATACTTTGTGGATGTTCCAGAATTCATTTAACCATTTCCCTTATTGGAAGTTTAGGTTGTTTATGCTGTTTCTCTTTTCTAGTCTCCATCTGTACCTGGTAACTTCCCTAGGAGAGATTCTAGACAATTGTAACCAATTCCCAACCCTCATGGTAGTTCCTGATATTTGTACCCAAATCCCTAATATTTTTGACCTAGGAAATTTGTTGGTTAAGAACTGTATTTAGCTGTTTCAACTTGCACTTATTGGATGATTAGGGAAGATAAGCACTTTTACATGCATTTTGGCCATATGTATCTTGTGGGTACGTGTTATCACCAGACCACTTTCTATTGAGATATTGTTGTTTTCCCATTAATTTATGTGAGCTGTCTATATATTAAATATACATTTTTTAGTTATTACATTTTTTGGAAATAATCATCTCGTTGATTTTTACATTTTAACTGGTGTACCTGATCATAAAATGGAATCAGAGGATAGTCTGGGGTTGGTATTACTCAATTAAATAAAATGTAGAGATTTTTATGCTGCCAGACAACTAGGCAATTTATTTCTGTTTATGCCTCCAAAACACCAGATTATTTCCCAGAGCCTTGAATCTCACCATTCTTTTAGGTACTAAAGAACCTAAAAGGTTGTAAAAACCTATTATTTTACAACTAAAATAGTACTATTTTACAACTAAATATATAGGGAAGGTTTTAAGTGAGTTTCTTAAGAGGTGATGGGATTTTCAGAATCTGTAGTTGAAAGTAGGAATTTCTGGCCCCTAATTCTGCATTTTTAGACTTTGCTGATGTTTTCTTTTATCTCCTATCATTTACTCTTCATCTGCACATTTTGGTCCCCCTTCCCTGAAGGAACCTCTCAGTTTGGCCCCACAACCTTGATGCTCAGTTGTGTAAGATTTGCCTTTCCTATTTCTTCATTTTTCCTCCTCCCCCCACTTTCCCGGGCTTGGGTGGCTTCTGGTAGGAACTGATAGGGCTGGAACCAGACCAGAGAAACATTAGACACTGTCAAATCCTACTACATGGAAATTAAGAGAAAAATAAAGAGGGATGTCAAAAGAAACTAAACAGAAAAAAGAGGCTGAATGATTATGGAGGGGATTGTAGAAAAATAGCAGAAATCATTACTTGACTGCTCAAAACACTGTGCCTTCCATGCTCTGTATTTTTCTAATTCCACCATGCTCCAGGATTTCCACTTTCAACAGACATGCACTTGGGTACCATGCATGTCATGGACCTCTTCTAATAAGGAAAATGGAACAGGCTTCTATTTTTTAATGTAATTGATTATAAACATATATCAGTGCTAATAAAACACATCAAAAACATAACTAGGACATGAGAAGTTGAGTCAGAAGTAGCCGTGTTATTCAATATTTTAATAGCATTTGCTACCAAAACCTTAAAACGAAAAAGAATAAGTAAACAAATGAATAGTATAGTAAAAAGTGAAAATGACTATCACATTGGAAAAAGAGGAAAATAGTAAAATCATGGCAACTCACATGATGGACTATTATGCAGCTATTGATAACCCTATTTTTAGAGAATTCCTAATGACAAGGGGAAATGTTTATGATACAAAGGGGAGGGGAGAAAGTAGAAAGCAAAACTGCACACATGCTAACTGTTTCACATGAACACCCACAGAGTACATACACATATTGAAGCTTTGAAAAAAAGACTAGAAGGAACCACACTGGGGTGTAAATGGTGGTTTCCTCTGAATGGTATATTTTTGTCTTGATACTTGTCTGATTTTTCCAAATTTCATTTGCATATATTTTCTTTATAATAAAAAGAGGAAATACAATGTAAACATTGTAAGAAAAGAAACTGTAAGTTTTATTTCTATATTTTCAAATCCCAGCTTTAAATCTGGCTTATTCTTTCAGCTTGTGCGTTTGGTTTTTCCTGATCTTGGTACCCGGAGGCTAGGCACGAGAGGAAGTGCCAGGTAGGTTTATCATTTTTGTTTTATTTGAAATGTTAAAGGACAAACATTTTGAAAAATCAAAAAATGGGTGACAAAAAATGCAAAACTAAATGAACTATAAATATCAACTCTTACCAGAGAATTATCATACTTCAAATGAAATCCTAGTGCCTGGAATAATTTAGGTGATACTAGAATGAAGTGTTCATTTCTGTTTTCTTAGTGATTTTGTTAAAAATATGCAAGTTACAATATGTTTTCTTGTTTGAACACTTTAAGTGTTTTGACATAAATGTCTAACTGTTGAAATATTTAAATAATTACACGCAGAGAGCAATAGAACTGTTTTAGTTACTCTTTGAAGTAAAATTTCTAAGCCCTCATCTAATTAGCATATTTGAATTATTTTTGAGAGACCAGGTACCTACGTTCTATGTATTTTTAACGCAAGAGGAAATTCCAGTGTTATCAGGTGCATCGGGTTATAATTGTCACTCAATTACTATTGTTATTTGTTGTTTCTTTTAAATGAAGAAAAATAGGAGAAATCAGTGAGATCAGGAAATCAGTGAGAAGGGACGGAAGCCAAATTAGGAAAGGGGCCTGCTACCCATGAGGGAATGAAGACAGCCGAAGCATTTGCCAAACTAAACACTGGGTAATAGTTAATTTGAAAAAGTTTTGTCCTGCTGTTTTGAGCCTAGACAAGCAGCTACAGTTTCCCAGCTCAGCAAAGTGCTTGGGCTGCAGAGAAGGAACCTCCTCCCTCTTGGGTTTCTGAGAGCTCGAGTCCAGTTCTCAGTACAGGGAACATTGGTATCGCTACCCTTCACTTTAAAAATGTTCATGGCAGTGACAGCAGGAGCCTCTCCCTGTCACATCTCTCTAAGACCAGAGTGTCCTAAATTGGGGAAGAAGAGTGGAACATTTGCAAGCCTGTTTCAAAGCTGATGTGTATGAAGTAGTATGAATCTGTCTACATAACAGAGCTAATAGATGGAGTAAATGATAAAACTCCGAGAAGAGCTTCAGGTCTTCATCAGTGAGTCTATTCTGTAGCTTCTGTAAAGCATGTCAGTGGTTTGACATAGTCTTTAAGACAACCTTTATTTTTCAGGTATCATTATGATGGAATCTGTATCAAGAGAAGTTCTTTCTTCTATGCCCAGTATTGCTACCTTCTGGGTGAAAAAAGGGATCACAGGTTAGTATCTGTCATTTAGGTATTTTGGTCATGGGTCACTATCTGCCTTTTTTTTTTTTTTTTTTTTTGGCTGTTCCACTATTAATCCTTCTTAAGGATGGAAACACACACATCACGTCAACATGGCTTTGATGTGGGCAATAAATCAGTCTCTGGCAACATCACTGGCCAGAGAAAGGCATTTCCAGTTCATTCTCTTGGATACTTTTCATTATAAGTATCATCTCAATTGCCAGGGCAATTTTTCATTGAGTGCATCTTTGTTCTTCTCAATTTCTCTGTAAAATTTGATGCAATTGGTCACTTCTTAAAACTTCCTTTAGCTCTCAAGAACTTTTCATCCAATTTCTTCTCCAGAGCGATCCCTCTGAGTCTCCTTATCTCTCCTCCCCTTATATGCAGGCATTTTCCTGAGACCCAACCAGTGGTGCTCTTCCAATCTTTGGCCCCAAGATATTTCATCCTTCTTTATCCATCACCTATCACCATGCCCTCACAGATGACTCCTCCCCTAATTCATTTTTGATGGACCTTTCTCTCCCACCTCCCAGCCATTCCTCTTGGACTATCTACTGGACATCTCCACGTAGATGATCCACTGGCACCTCATACTTAGTACGTAAAAATCTAAATTTTTAATCTCCTTCCAAATCATCACTGCCTCTTGACTTCCTTATTTCAATCTATGATACCAGTAGGTAAAATCTGCACAAAGTGTTACCCCCAAAGCCCTCCCCGACTAGCTTGGGAACAAGAGAGTCAGCCCAGAGATGGTTCTGAAGCTGTGGAGCTCATTCAGACGAGCACCTGGACCAAACAGGAGGCCGATCAGAAAGATCTGTCCAAGGCAGTGTCTTCAGTTGGTTGAGTCCATGTCAATAGAAGGGAGCACAGATGACTCAGCCCGGCCTGTCCCATCAAAACCTCAAACTTAACCTCAAATAAAGTCATCACATTCTTCTTCCAACCAGCTCTTCCTCTTAAATGTCTTATTCATCGATTAGTCACAAAGATGGAAAAATTACATCAACAAAAAATAGAGAAGTTAGGGAAGGGAATAGATAGGAGATTTATTTCAGTTAGGGTTAGAGCTTTCCTTGTGCTAATGTATTCTCCCACTTGCTGACCCGTATGCTCCTCAAAGGCTAGGCCTAGAGTTTGTGTCTTTTTGCCCCAGGGCACCCAGCAGGCAGTTTGGAGAGCCCTGCAGCATGACATGGCTGTTGCTCAGCAGCACTTAGAGGCCATTAGTGTCCTGAGGTCTCTGGGTCGATGTCACAGAGAGAGGGTCTGGAACTGGTCTTTATGGGGAAAGAAGTAGGCTTCATCCTCAGCAAGGAAAAGGAAGGCTGTCAGGGACACAGGTAAGAACAAGGGTAACATTGGTTTATCCATGACATAGGCCCAGCAGCGGGTGCTTTTCATGCTCAACACATATTTATTAATATTTAATAATTGATAAACTTTATACAGTCTTGGCCAATTAAGAGATATTTTTTTAGCACTAAGATCTAAGGTAACCTCCTTACCAATTCCACATATTTAGAAATACTAAATATATATTTTAGAATGCAGAAATATAATAAATGATATATTGCTGTTAATAATCCATGAAATATACGGGTGAAAATGTCTTCTATTTCATTGTATCTTTTATATAAGGACATGTGTGACAAAGCTAGGTCTCGAAATAAAAACTTCATTTCTCTGGTTTTCAGATAATGAAAACTATAGAACTCATCATTCACTTATTTGTTCGTTCAACAAATATTTGAGTTCCTACAATAAGTCAGGCCCTGTTCTAGTTACTGGGGATGAAAAAGTAAACAAGATAAACAAGGTCTCCTTTTTGTCTATCTTAGTGGGGAAGATGTAAGACAATAAAGAAGGGACAATAGCAAGATTTATCTGAAGACAGTAAAACAGGGTCATGGGAAGCCTCCTTGAGAAGATGCCCTTTGAGCAGAAATATGAAAAAAAGAGTCAGCCAAGTGAATATCTGAGGGACAAGTATTGCAGACAGAGGAAAGAGCAAGCCCAAAGGGCCTGAGGCAGGAATGAATTCAAAGAACAGAAAGAAAGTCTGGAGGTGGAGGTTGGCGAATGAGCAGAAGAGTGGGAAGAGAGGAATCTGAACACAGAAGTGGGACCTATAAGTCTTGGCAAGGACGTGGGATGTTATTCTGAGTGTGATAGAGAGACACTGGAGAGTCTTACGCTGGGAAGTGATTTTTTTATTTTAATTTTTTAGAAACTTTAGTATAGTTGACACACCTGTTACATTAGTTTCAGGTGGATAACATAGTGATTCAACTTCTCTGTGTTATGCTGTGCTCACCATAAGTGTAGCTACCATCTGTCACCATCCAATGCTATTGCAATAGTATTGACTATATTTCCTATGTTGTACCTTTAATCCATGTGACTCATTTGTTCCATAAGTGGAAGCCTATATCTCCCTCTCCCCTTCACTCATTGTGCCCATACCCCATGCCCTTTTCTCTGGCATCATCAGTTTGTTCTCTGTATTTATAGGTCCAATTCTGCTTTTTGTTTGTTTATTCATTTGTTTTGTTTTTCTAAAAAAATTTTTTTTAATCTTTGTTTTTGAGAGAGAGAGACAGAGTGTGAGTGGGGGAGGAGCAGAGACAGAGGGAGACACAGAATCCGAAACAGGCTCCAGGCTCCGAGCTGTCAGCACAGAGTCCGACGCAGGGCTCGAACTCACGAACCACGAGACCATCACCTGAGCTGAAGTTGGACACTTAACCAACTGAGCCCCAGGCCCCCCTATTGGTTTTGTTTTTCATATTTCATATGTAAGTGAGATCATATAGCATTTCCTTCTCTATCTGACTTATTTCACTTTAACATAATAACCCTCTAGGTCCATCCATGTCATTGCAAATCACATGATTTCATCCTTTTTAATAGCTGAGTAATATTCCATTGTGTATATATATCACATCTTCTTTATCTATTCATCAATTGATGGGACACTTGGGTTGCTTCCATATCTTGGCTGTTGTAAATAATGCTGCAATAAATATTGGAGTGCAAGTATCTTTTCAAATTATCTTTTCTTTCTTTGGGTAAATATCCAGCAGTGGAATTACTGAATCATGTAGTGTTTCTGATTTGTATTTTATGAAGATTAAATGAATTAATACAATGAAAATGCCTGAAACAGCACCTGGCACATAGTAAACATTCAATGTGACTCTTAAGCATATTGCTCTTGACTTTGATGTACTTATTTTATCATATCTATGATTTTTTCATGGTATTATGTCTATGGTTATTATTTTGGTCATTTTATTTTTCAGCATTCCTATTTGGTTCTTTTTTATAACTTCTATTTTTTTGTGGAGGCTTTCTATTTTTTCATTTGCTTTAAGAGAATTTATAACTACTGGTTGGAGCATTTCTATAATGACTGCTTGAAAATCGTTGTCAGATAATTCCAATATCTGAATCATTTTAATATCAGTGTCAGTTTATTGTCTTTTCTCATTCAAATTGTGGCTTATCTAATTCTTGGTATTATGGGTGATTTTCTTTCTTTCTCCCTTTCTTTCTTTCTTTCTTTCTTTCTTTCTTTCTTTCTTTCTTTCTTTCTCTCTTTCTCCCTTCCTTCCTTCCTTCCTTCCTTCCTTCCTTCCTTCCTTCCTTCCCATATAATTGACATACAACATCACATTCTTTTCAAGTATACAACATAATAATGATTTGATGTTTGCATATGTTGCAAAATGATTATCACAGTAAATCTAGTTAACATCCATATGCAGTTACATAATTTTTTTCCTTGTGATGAGAACTTTTAAGACTTACTCTCTTAGCAACTTTCAAATATGCAATACAGTATTATTAATATAGCCACCAAGCTGTACATTACACCCCCAGGACTTATTTATTTTATAACTGGAGTCAAAAGGTACAAATTACCAATTATCCATCCCCAGCCCTCTGCCCCACCCCCGGCAACCACCAGTCTGTTCTCTTTATCTATAAGCTTAGTTTTATGCTTTCTGGGTTTGTTTTTTTTGTTGTTGTTTATTTGTGTTTTTCTTTAATTTTTTAAAAAATGTATATTTATTTATTTTGAGGCAGAGAGAGAGTGTACATAAGCACACATGCAAGCAGGAGAAGGGCTGAGAGAGAGGGAGAGAGAATCCCAAGCAGCTCCACGCTGTGAGCACAGAGCCCAGTGTGGGACTTGATCCCATGAACCATGAGATCACGACCTGAGCCGAAATCAAGAGTCAGTTGCTCAACCGACCAAGCCACCCAGGCACCTCTGGCTTTAAAAAAATTTAGATTCCACATGTAAGTGAAACCATATAATACTTGTCTTTCTCTGACTCATTTCACTTAGTATAACACCCTCAAGGTCTATCCATGTCCCAAATGGCAAGATGTCATTCTCTTTTGTGGCTGAATAATATTCCATTGTGTGGAATACACACACCATATTTTCTTTATCCATTCAAAAGTCAATGTACACTTAGTTTGTCTCCATAGCTTGGCTATTGTAAGCAATTTGTGATGAACATAGGGGTGCAGATATCTTTTTTGGGGTAGTGTTTTTATTTTCTTTGGATAAATACCCAGAAGTGAATTTGCTGGATAATATGGTATTTCTATTTTTAATTTTTTGAGGAACCTCTATACTGTTTTCCACAGTGGTCACACCAATTTACATTCCCACCAACAGTGCACAAGGGTTCCCTTTCTCCACATCCCTGCCAACACTTGTTATTTATTTTCTTTTTGATAATAGCCATTCTAACAGGTGTGTGATAGAGGTTGTATTTCATTGTGGTTTGATTAGCATTTCCCTAATCACTGGTGATGCTGAGCATCTTTTCATGTACCTGTTGGCCATCTATATGTCTTCTTTGGAAAAAATGACTATTCAGATCTTCTGCACATTTTTAAATTAATTTTTTTTTGCTATTGAGTTGTATGTTTATATATTTTGGATATTAACCCTTTAT